TCTGTACTGGTGTACTTTCGCAGTGTGTGTGTGTGTGTATGTGTATGTATGTGTATGTATGCGTATGTATGTGTATGTATGTGTATGTATGAGTATGTATGTGTATGTATGCATGTATGTATGTGTATGTATGGGTATGTATGGGTATGTATGGGTATGTATGTGTATGTATGTGTATGTATGTGTATGTATGTGCATGTATATGTATGTATGTGTATGTATGTATGTATGTATATATATATATGTATGTATGTATGTATGTATGTATGTATGTATGTATGGTTTGTGGAACGGCCTGGACATGATTTTGTCGGCTCTGTGCTGTTGGAAGCACACTGTTCTCCTACGTACTCTCTCTCTCTCTCTCTACGTACTCTTTCGCCAGGGCTATGGACAGGGCAAGTTCCCCTGTCCGCGCGCGAGTGCGCCCCCGTACGTTGCGGAGGAGAAACTAGGAAATACGCAAACTCCACAGGTTTCAGGAGGTTGAGAATGCAAATTCCACGAGGCCACTCGTTGTGGGGGGCATGTCGTTACAGGAGTAGAGTACTCTCTCTCTTTCTCTGACGCTCCGACAGCTTCTGGTGGAAGAAGTTCGTCGTTTGGGGTTTCAGGCAGGTTTCAGGCTTCCGGACCTTAAAACTCCTGCGTTTCAGCTCTCACTCTCGCTCCTGTTTGGGGGGCCTCGACAGCCAACTCCTTAGGTCTCACGCCACGTCCTTTTGACCCGAGCTTCACAGACCAAGTGCACAACAACAAGGTTGCTTTTGGTCAGATTTGAGAGTGGCACCAACAGTTCCCAGGCCAACAACAACGAGACAACTCTGCGCTGCATCAAGTCAATATTCAAAGCCGCCCACCCTCCCTCCCTCACATGATCTGCTAGCCACTCGCTGTCGTTGCCACCTGTGCGATGCCCCCATCGGACATGTTTACATACCGCGAAGTTCCAGGCCCATCAAAGCCCGGTAGGGTAGTGATGCCGGCGCGTCACCGGGATTTGCTTGAAACATGTCAAAACATGGGAGCATGCCAACGAGCTAGACATCCTTTTAGGGCGCGGGCTGAAACATACTTGGACGCGTCCACACCATCCTCGGAGCAGGATCATATTGAACCTTCTCTGCTCAAGAAAGGATCTGCCAAATGAGAAATGAGGACATGGAAAACACAATCAATCACTGGGACACGCACAATGTCTTTCATGACGGCGTCGACCTCGACTTCGCCCTTAAAAAGCTTCAACCTGTGCAGATTGGGAATCTCAGTTCTGCCGGGATCTCACTGCAGCCGCCTGTTCTGGAATCGCGTGACACGTGCGATGCTCTTGTCTCTGTTCCTGGGGATGTCGCCACAGGCACAAACATTCCCAGCGCACTGTTAGGTAGTTGACGCAAGCCACGGACGAAGACAATTTGGCCCACTGCCAAGTGAGGTAACTACTCGGACAGCTTATGAAGACCAAGCCAGACACAGAAGACAGCTTAGGCCAAGCGCCCTGTCATCTGTGAGCCGGAAGCCTGCCAGGAGATACATCTCAGACTTGGCCGCCCTGACTGTCAGCGGAGCAAACCGACAAGCCGGGTGCGCCTTCGCTGCTCGATTAAGCTTGCGCCTCGAAAGACAGCGTCGCAGCATGCACGTATGCGTTCCATGTGTGTCATGTAGCTCCCGAGGCCAAGGCAGTTCGACCCGAGCCAATTCATCCCGCCTCAGCAACACAGGCACCACATGCACGACGACAGAGGACACACACACACACGTGTACAAGCACACACGCGCACACAGACACACACACACGCACACCCGCGCACACACACACACACTGAGTGAGAGGATATATGATAATATGTATAGCTCTCTATGTCTACTTTTGGCTCCCACTGGGCAACGTCCGCGGACACTGTGTCTATAATATCTGTATATATATATATGCATACATATGCATATACATAGATCCATATCCATTTCCATGTCCATATACATATACATATACATGTACATATACATGTACATATACATGTACATATACATGTACATATACATGTACATATACATATACATATATGTAGACTCTTTGATAGGTGAAGGCAGGGTTGAAGCCAACTTTCTCTGCCCTTCCTGACCAGCCTTGGTTCTGCAGCGTGTTTGGCTGATGAAGAACGACTATTCTGCTACTCTAGACGGTGGTGATGATGAGAAACGCGATGACATGATGATTTTGACGCGAATGTGTGTCAGACACATTCGCAAACGAAAACAAGATTACATGATTCGTGCACTGGGTATGGCTTGCCCCTGCATCGGACGCAGGGAGGAATGGAACGGCACGAAATGAGAGCAATGGGGATAAGGTGCCAGCTGCTGAAGTGTGGAGGATTGGCCTCGTCCTTGCAATGCACAGTACCCTTGCAGCAGACCTCTGGCACAGTGCCCGTCGCTAGCCGAGGTAGAATGGAGTGAGTGGGAAACGGCCAGACATGGGACATCAATCATGGTGAAGTTACCTATCAGTAATGGTTGCGGTGTATGGTCGCCAAGCCTATGACCATTGCATGCATATGCAAACACGTCCGTTCAGGATAGCAAAAGCGCTGCACGGCAAAGATGGCGTACATTGTGTCGCGTTAAGCGCTGTCCAACCGATGCTTCCCCCACCATCTCATAGATATGTTGCGTTGGTCGAGCATGGCAGACCTGACGACCCTGCATTGCCTTTCCGGCCATGTCACTGCAGAATCGGGCCTTCACCCCATGTACAATTCCTTCCGATGCGCACACACAGAAAGCGACCAAAACAATTAAACATGGAAGGGGGCAAATGGAAGATCGACAGGCAGACAAAATTGAGTACACGTTCATACCCCAATCGTGCACACGTACACGGCTTTGAAATTGAAGCCACTTAGTGTTAGTTGGAAAGTTCCAAAGCAAACTCCGCAGTGCCCGGCTCGTCGTCTGCATACTTCTGTCTGGCTTCCTCCGCCCTCGGTCGCCAGCTTTATCCGACGCACGACATATCAGACAAGGAATGGAATGCCCAAAAGTAAGGCAAAAACTAAGGAATTGGCAACTTTGCTTTCGGATCGTCTGCTTTTTCGGCAGCCTTGTTGGCTTCCTGTTCAGCGACACCAACACAGAATGGCTCTGGGATGGACCAAATACTCTGCAAGTGGTCATTACTTTCTGCCTTGGTCTCAACCTTTGGGTCAGTCTTTGCGGACTTGCCATCCTTCTGACTGCCTGCCTTCACAGATGGCCCAAGCAAACTGTATCTTCCAGTCGCTCCGTGATTCCAGGCCGGGGATGATTGGCAGGCATGGACAGGCTAGGACTTGAAACCCAGTCCATCAGTACCCAGTTATTTTTGCCGGAGCGTGTGGAGGTTAGAGTGTGGCCGAAGCACAACATCAGGCAAATGCAGAGGATGGCAATGGAAAAGCCTTGGTACCATGCCGGGAAAATCTAGCCTCGGCAAAGGTGGATATCGCAAAACAACCAAGACTTGGAGAACAACACACAAATACACACATGATTATGATTTTGATGAGCGCGCCAGACTACGCCAGAATCACTTCGACTCGACTCATGATGCACGTTCTGGAGAAAGCGTAACCACGCAACAGTATACGCCATTGCCGACATTCTCGGTCCCAACGCCGAAGCCGAAGCAAGGGGAAACACGCCTTCCCCTTTTCTGCATCTTTCTTCGGCTCTGCCTGGCAAGGCAGCTTGTTGCACGAGCTGTGATCGCAGCAAGAAAAATACGTTTCAACTTGCCTTGGCGCCTGCCTTGCCCATTCCAAGGCCTCGGTTAAAGAAGGCCCTGCAACCCGTGCCTGCCATGGCTCAGGAATCTGAGCTGCCGGCGCAGGGCCCCGTCACAAGCACAGTGCTCCTACTCGGACTTAGGTTAGTCTTGGCATTGCATGGAGGCTTTTTCTTGAGGCTCTGTGCTCGTCTGGGCTTTTGGGCTGTGTTGGGCGTGGCGTCTGAAATCATCTCGTTTCTGTGAGGGCATGTGGGTAGCAAGCTGCTGGCTTGCCTGCTTGGGCTCAACTACAATTGTCCCTGCTGCAGGCATGATGCATTGGCGAAACACCCACGAAGCTGCTGACTTGCAAGCGGTGCAAGCATGCAGGCACTTGAAGGGAAGCCGGGCAGCCGCAAGCGGCATGCATTTTGCAGTACCAGCCAGTAGTCATCTTTCCGAAATTGCTGCAGCTGCACCATAAACCTTAGCTAGCAACATCTTGACGCATCGGCTGCCCAGTCAAGCTTTGCATGCGGATGCATGCGGCCTCCCGAGGGAAGCTGCCAGGGCAGCAATTTCGGACCAGAGTGTATCTTCGACGTCAAGGAAAAGGAAGATGGCACCCGGCCGCGCCGCCTCCGCATTGTCAGCTGAACTCGCACAAGCGATTCCCAGGTGGCCTGGAGCAAAGTTGACAGCAGCCCAAAGTCGCTTGACCGGAGAATTTCCACATTCTCGTGTAGTACCTGCGTCGGCCGTTTCTTCGCGCTCAGCTTGACTCATGTTTGACGTCCAGACTTGACTCTGCAGTACACTCCACCCGGAAACCAGAAGTGGTTCCAGATGCAATGCTGAGCCCGACCGTGTTGCCGTGGAGCCCTGCCTAATCTCTGAATTCCGACGACTGTGGCTTAGCAATCTAGGCAAGTTGATGAGGCATTGAAATCATGAAGACCGTGCAGATTCGGCCTTTACCCAGATGCGTAAGCACTTGATGCCGGGAGAAGCTGCAGACGGAACCTGTGTAAATTAAGTTAACTACACCCAACCCCCGAGACCCTGTTAGATGATGCATATTAATAGGCATGCAACCCTGTAACTGTTGAACATCCACTGCATTGCAACCCATGAATTGGAATCTGGATCTCAAAAGAAGAGGTTCAAATCCCAAGCGGCGCACATAAGAAAAAATGAAGACATCGGTGTCTTCAGGAGACGGCACTCCCGCCACCAACCTCTTGCTAAGCAGCTGGCCTGTGCACAAGTCGACCGTGTTGAAAACCCTTCAAATCGAGCATCCTCTGAGTAAACGAAGTCGCGCATGTAGCACTGCCTTGATGGAAGTACAGGTCCGTCCGCGGCCTCTCAGCTTCAGAATGCCAGAGCCTGATGAACAAGAGCGGAGATTCTCGAAAAGATCTCACAGTGCAGAGTAGACAATGCGGGGCAACAACGAGACAGCTGAGACACTGTAGCACTGCTTGAAGCCGCAGAATAGTCTCGGACCAAGCATCTTCGCAGTCCACGACATGATGCTCCAGGTGCACCGGCCATCCTTCCAGCCCTGCATAGACAGCAATTCCTCGCAAGCTTTGGGGAAGCTGGCCATTGACTGCTGCCACGTCTGCGCGTCTTGCGACTTGCGGTCTGCAGTCCTAGTGCTGCTATCCCAGGACCTCCACCAATGTCCACCACAATGCACGACTCCTCTGTGAAGGCAAGACTTGCGGGCAACATCTGCTACATCCACAGCTCCTTGTCTGCAAGGCCATGCGTGAGGGCTTCCGGCCCGAAGAGCACGCAGGCAACTTGGGCGCAGCGTTCTTTCTCGAAGACTTTATTTCGGATGTATCCTCGCACAGGGGCCGCAGGTGCCCATGCTGGACCAAGCAATTGGCTTTCAGACCTCCAAACATACCCAAGCTAATGCACCGTCACTGCGCCCTCTCCAGCATGGGCACCCATGTCAGAATAGTCCAACGGATCGGGGCGGCGAAGCTTCCTGAGTTCGGAAAGATTGAATGTTCTGTGGCAAGATATCAAGAGAGGATGACAATCACAAGGTCTCGCCACTTGTGTGAGTCTAGTCCATGCAAACTCAGCCGAGATCTTCAGCTTTTTTCGCAGTCTCCTCCAGTTCTCGTACTGCGTCTCCGGGAACGAATCCAGCCACTGCCTGCAACGTACAAGCCAAAGACTTCCTGAAACAAACGGAAAACAACCGGATATGGCTTGGTTTTTTTCTGAAGGAGGTTACAAGTACCAGACAGATTTTCCGCCTGGTCAACTCCTTGCTGGTACGCGCATGCGCTTGGTACCAGCTGATATCTTCGGCAAAGGTGTGCATCAAGCGCCGTCTCAATGGCAGCAAGAAGCCTCAAAAAGACAAGCGCAAAAATGAGCGCGGCTAGCAGGGACGCGCCTCCATCTTCGAGCACCGCTTCCCTCAAAGCAGGCCATTCCTTGGTGTCTAGCACCGAACAGCGGAAGTCCGAACGTCTGCTCTTTCAGGCAAGTAACGGCGTCAGTTGCATAGTGGGCCAACATGTTGGCAAATTGGCAGATGTCAACTCGCAACGAATGCTGACGCATGCGCCGCAGCTGCTGCACCATGCAGGAGGCCGTGGATTGATCGTGATGCTCCTGCCAAAACTCAGTGACTACATCTACACAGAAATGCAAGCAAGGGATTCGTGAAGTCGCCCAAGAATGCCATGCTTGTGGGCGACTTGGGGCTATGCCTTCTCGAAAGCCGGTGCCGGGCTCGAGCACCGTCAGGCGTGACCCAACCCCCTTCTGTTTCTTCTCTCACCGGATTCTTCCGGGCTTCGACGTCCAGGACGAGCTGGTGAAGATGTTACACTGTTTGGCACAAGCTAGGAAGGGAACCCGCAGCATCAGCACCAGTCGGGTAAACAAGGAATGGCTGTGTATGAGCATGATCAGCAGACACCTGAGCAGCCGCAAAGTAGGTAAACGGCTCGGTGGGCACTCCGGCGGATGCCATGCGCTGCAGCAACTGAACAGAAACCTGGCGAATTGAGACGAGCGTTGCCAAGAGGTCAAGACTGACTCTCACCTTCCAGCACTCCCATGGACTCCTTGCCTCCCAGTGTCCTCGACTGCAGGACCAAAGGGCCGAATTGAAGAACTTTCGGTCCGGCGCCTCCTGTGAGTGCTGCCTCGCACATGCAGCTTGAAGCTCCAGAGCTTGTGAGTATTCGAAGACGGCGTCAGGCTTGCGTGAACGCAAGGGGTGATAGGGACGCTGGAAGAAACCGATTCCGAACTGCCACCCATCACATCGGAGTATGCCCGTTTAGTTTATTCCTAGATGCTGTCAATCGCTGCTGTCATGTTGCATGTCTTCCAGCATGGGGAGGGCCACATGCCAGCACCGTGCTCTCCGAGCTACGCTCATCACCTTGACAAGGCAAGGCATGTCGGCACTGATAAACTATCGGCTACCAGGCCCAAAATGCAAAGTTTCACGCAGAGCTGAAGCTAAGCATCATGCAGCCGTGTAAACTCCTCAGCTGAGAACTGAGAACTAGCAGTAACTAGCGTGTCTCCCGAGTTGCAGTTAAAATCCGCAGTATATCGGATATCGCAGAATGCGAGAATCGTGAACCCGGAAGGCCCTTTCAAGAGTTCTCCGTGAATGTTATGTCGAAAGACGTCTCCGTTCATCGCGTCACATTCTGCACGATCAGCGCTTGCGCACGTCGGCGCGCACAAATCATATACCACGATCTTGATGGTTCAACTTGCGTTCGCATGCGAATTACCGTATACAGCCTGTAATTATACATGAACCTCAAGTCTTGCCTCTCTCTCTCTCTCTGTGACTCTCTTTCTCTAATTCAACACAGGAGGGTTCGCGAGTGAATCGAAGAGGGCGTAACAAACATTTCATTTTCCAGTGTAGTCTCTTTTGTAGCATAATTCACTATGTTTCACTCCGTGACATGTAGGCTCAAGGAGACCGTAGACAGCCCAACGCCGTCTGTGGAAAAGTCAAAGCGCGATCCGGTGATTCAAGGGAACCTTAAAATTTGGTTTAAAACTTTCAGTAAGCCAGCTGAAAGGGCTCTTTCTCCAAGCGAGACTGTTCCTTGACAGGGAGATGAAAGCAAAATCAACCCTGTCTAACGTAACCTAAAGTAATCCAATGACAACCCTACCCAACCACCCTATTATTGTATAAATCCTGGGGTACCTGAGGGTTCAGGACCTTCAAATCTAAACATACCCATCAGGTAACCCGACCCAACCTAACCCGGCCTAGTCAAGCCAACCCGGGGCCCCAACGCAGCAGATTAGGTGAGGTTGTGTAATTCAAGCCTAAGCTAACCCCAACCCAGGAAACCCCACATGTAACAGCCACATGTATCTAAAATAACCCAAGCTACCTTGCTCTAACCAAATATAAACTAATGCAACGGGCCCTAACCTACCCTAATCCACCCCTGACCTAGCCTAACCTAACCTCATCTGAGCCGGCGTACTCTGACCTGCCCCGATCTGAGCTAACTCAGCCTTAATCCATAGTAGTTGATTTTATTTAAGGCAGTCCAAGAGCAACGAAACCAAACCTGATCTAATATCACATCAAACCAGTTAACCCGACCTGACCGAGCCTCAACTGCTCAAGTAGTGGTAGAGGCTAGGTTAGCGCAAATCAAGACAGGTCAGGGTAGGTTGGCTCAGACCTGTCTTGATTACGTTAGGTTGGGTCAAAATGCATCAGATTAGGTCAGCACAGCTTAGGCTAGGTGTGGTGCGGTCAGATTAAAATAGCTTAGGTGAGATTCAGGTTTAGTTATATTATAGTATATTGGGCAGATACGGATCTCGCCAACCGCACCGGACTTTAACCAATCAGAAACCCGAATCTGAATGCAATCTAACCTAACCTCGTCTTAGCACTATCCGGAGATCACCCCAATGGACCAATCCGCCCCCAACAGCCCTAACCCCAACCTACAGCAACCCAACCTGAGCTAATCTAATAGAAATCCAGGGGAAGCCAGCGCCACGCTGTTGGTTACGCTGAACAAACTACCGATGCCCGGTAATAACTCTGACAGGAGCGCGGTCCTCCACATGTGTCTTCCACGCATCGATCAAGTCGCCACAAAGCTTCGGCTTCGGAGGCTGTCTATCCAAAAACGACCGCCGAGCCTGCTTCACCTCCTCAGGGCGACCGAACCTAACCTAAACGAATCCGAAACCCGGATCTGAATCCAATCTAACCACAACTACTCTTACCACACAGGAAAATCCACCTGGTGGAACCCAACCTAATCTAATCTAACAAATAACGACCATACCAAAAGAAAGCCAAGCAAAAAAAAAAAAAAAGCTGCCTTCTTGGAGGGTCTATCATCGACAGACAAAGCTGGTTGGTGCAAGAGGTGGGCGTGAGCTTGGAGCGGCGGCATATGCGCCACCGCCTGGGCGACCTCCTCTCTCTTTTGCTT